CAAGACTGCCCCAAGCCAAGAGAAGATAAACCTAAGTGTATAAATTGCCAATTAGATCATACAAGCAACTACAGGGGTTGCCCGAATTTTCCCAAAATAAATACTCAAAATCCGCCTTTGAAGAATTTCAGTGATAAGAGTAATTATCAATAAATCTTATGCCGCCGCTGTTAGCGGGCAGACAGCGAATACTCTAGATGAAGCTAGAAGTATTTTTGAAGGACTTGAAAACCTTGTTGAGGCTATTAAAGCCTCCGGCATTCTACAAGTAAATTTAGCATCTAGCGCAAATGCTAGTAGTTTCAACGCGGTCAATAATGAACCCAATCATGGATAGGGAAAGCAATATAATTTTAGGCCAATCAAGATGTTAGTATGGAATGCTAACAACATGAGAGGAAAGAAAGATGAGTTGGAGGACTTTATGTATGATAACGACATTGATATTTGCCTGATCTCTGAGACGCACAACACCCCAGGAGACAGAGTTAGCATCAAAAATTATAGAACCTACCGATGTGATAGGTTACATCACAGAGGAGGTGGAGCACTCATCTACGTTCATTGTAAATATTCATCATGTTTAATTTCGACTGAAAGAGACAAGGGCTATGAAATTGTGGTTGCCTCTATTAACTTGCCTAAGATTAAGAGATACCTTATTTGCGGTCAATCTACAACCCCCCCCTACTATAATAGGCTAACTGAGGAAATGTTACAAAATATTATTCCGGATTCCTCAATAATGATTGTTGGTGGCGACCTCAATAGTAAGCATAAAGATTGGGGCTGCCGCAGCAACCAATCACAATGGTAAAGTACTGAGAGAGTATATCAGTAACCACCCAGTTGGATATATTTGCGCCTGACGTGCCGACGTTCAGGCCCAGCAACATCAGGTACACTCCTGATATTCTAGATATCATCTTGACTAATACAGGAATTAATATGGTGCTGGAGGTTCGAGAGACGACTTAAGCTCTGATCATACTCCTGTGATTGCTACACTAGGGGTCACCAGTATTAATTATACGAATGTTAAGACCCATACCGACTGGAGAATGTACCACAATGTTGTGAAAGTGAGGCTCCCTAAATTAGGTGCTATGAAAAGCCCTTCTGATATTGACAAGGAGATTGATAAGTTTACTACATGTCTTAATGACTCTTTACTATGAGGCCACCAAGGTTACTCAAAGGTCTTGTAAAATCGCTAAGATTCCAAGGTACGTCAAATCTCTCATAGCCGAAAGAAACAGGCTGCGAAGGAGGTATAATATCACCTGGGACCCAATTATTAAAACGGAGTTAAATAGGATCAGTAAGCATATTAAGCTTGAAATGCATAAATTAAAGTGTGAGGCTTGGAATGATAAAATGGAGGAGTTAAACTTAGACAGTGATGCCTTCTGGCAGTTTACAAAAATGTTAAAGAGGACGCATCAGTGTGATAGGCCCAATTATTGCCAACGGCGTGATTGCTTATTCAGATACTGACAAATGTCAGATTTTCGCTTCACATCTTGAAAAGCAGTTTTCTCCCAATCAGACACCTTCGTAATGTTCATTTTGAGACCCAAGTCAGAATGAAAGTAGAAGAATGGCTAGGTGCTCCCACGGTTCTAAATGCCGATGGTTTAACTAATCTAAGAGAAGTTACGGATATTATCTCCAAATTGAACCCCAAGAAAGCCCCAGGTATTGATGGAGTTACGAAATTTAATGATCAGGAACCTCCCGCGCGGTGGGATCACAAGACTCACCAGCATTTTTAATATTTGCATTACGTTATGCTACTTCCCGGACTGCTGGAAGTACGCAAAAGTTTTCCTACTACCGAAGCCTGCAAAAGGACATTTCACTAAGGCGGAGAATCACAGGCCCATAAGCTTGCTCTCTAATATAGGCAAGATCTTTGAACGAATAATTTTAAGGAAATTCCAGCCTTATTACAGGTACTTCCGGAAGATCAGTACGGATTTAGGAGCGAACTTTGCACATCTAAACAACTGATTAGGCTTGTGGAATTTATCGGCTCTGCTCTGCATCATAAGAGTTTGTACTGCAGTGCTCATGCTGGACGTGGCCAAAGCATTTGACCGTGTCTGGCATGAGGGCTTATATATAAATTGATAATGATGAATTTGCCTAGAGAACTGATCTTACTCACCAGATCTTATATTGCAAATCGTTACTTTACTGTTAGCTGCAAGCAAAGTCATTCTGGATACAAAACTATCGCTGCAGGCGTCCCCCAGGGGTCCTGTCTTGGCCCAGTACTCTATCTTTTCTATGCGGCTGATTTCTCGCGGGGATAAACTCAACAGAAATACATTGCTGGCCTGCTATGCGGATGACACCGCTGTAGCGGTCAGATCTATTCAGCCTAACAGGGCAATTTCTGTTATGCAGGATATAATTATGGACATTGAGGAGTGGTGCTCCAAGTGGAAGATTTCCATCAATGCGACTAAATCACAGCTACTTCTTGTTAGAAGGAAGAAAATATTGGTCTCAGTTCAGCCACTTTACCTATTCGGCCAACGTGTCCCGATGGTAAACAAGGCCAAGTATTTAGGTGTTTACTTGAATCGAAGACTCACGTGGAGCACGCATGTCAATTACATCAATCAGACACCTCGTAATATTCACTTTGAGACCCAAGTCAGAATGAAAGTAGAAGAATGGCTAGGTGCTCCCACGGTTCTAAATGCCGATGGTGTAACTGATGCAAGAGAAGTTACGGATATTATCTCCAAATTGAACCCCAAGAAAGCCCCAGGTATTGATGGAGTTACAAATTTAATGATCATTGCCAACGGCGTGACTGCTTATTCAAACAAGACCAGAGGAATTGCTCAACAATTACAAGTACTGCTAGGGCGCAGCTCGCAGTTAGATCTGAGAAGGAAAAGACAGATTTATATTTCCATTTTAAGACCAATTATGTGTTATGCGTCCCCTGTCTGGGCGACTGCTACGAGCTCAGATATCAACAAATTGCAGGTGACTCAAAACACAATCTTACGCACCATGACAGGAGCGCATTTTTACATCCGTAACAAACGCCTGCACGATGATTTACAAGTTGAATATATTGACAAATATCTGCAAAAACTTAACAGCAGGAAGTTCTTTGACAAAGGGATTTGAATTGCAGTAAAGGAAACTTTTAATGCTGTACTGAACTATGTCTGCATTCCTTGAGGACTACAATATCAGGCACTTTTCACGGCTCACAGAATGAGGGATCACAATTTTGTCACTTAGCCCACTCGTTTTTCAAATATGTAAATAACACATTTTTATGCGTACATTACTTCACTTTCATTTGTTTATTACATGTTCAACACTGTATCCTATGCACATTTCATGTATTTTCATTTCTTTTGCATCTTCATAGCTCCATACACGTGATTATTACTCTTGTCTCAGGGGTAAGAGTTAAGTTACTTTGATGATTGGACTTTGTCACTATGGCCGATGGGCCCTCTTTTCCTTACCCGCTCCGATTTCCCGGCTGGGAACTAGCTGATAGTTGACATTCTGATTGTCCTTAGGGGATTAGATCAATATAGCTTATTAAAGCCCAACTGGGCTAATATAAGCATAAGCAATTAGCATTTAAGTGTTATCTTTCCCCATTTGAAATAATTTCATATAATATTTTTTTCCTATAACATATTTTTCTTCTCAATATAACATCTCATTGCTAATAATTAAGACAATGAAATATGACAAAGACCAATTTATTAATGTATAAGGTATATTTGTCGCCTTCTTAGCATGCCTTCATGATGTAATGGTCAGCATGCTCGGAGCGTATTCGCGAGGTCTGAGGTTCGAGTTCCAACGAAGGCATTGCTAATTTTTCCTGTCTCCGCTTCCAAATAACCTAATGTCTCTACAATGGCGCCTAAACTAAAAAAGGTGGTGAATGATTACTCTTCATCACCAGAATTTGGTGATTGGGTCCCTTAATCCTCAGTCGCCCTTTGAAAGGGGGAACATATAAGGTATTTCTCCTGCCTTCTTAGCATGCCTTCATGGTGTAATGGTCAGCACGCTCGCCACCTATTCGAGAGGTCTGAGGTTCGAGTCCTAGCAAAGGCACTGCTAATTTTTCACATCTCCTACTTCTATATAACCTAATGTCTCTACAAATGAAATAATACACATAAAAGAATAAAAGTGACAGATTTTGAAGCTACATTGCTCGCGTGCAAAGTTAAAGTCCTAATGAACATTCATTGTGTCACATGAACCTGTAAAAAGGAAAAAACAAAATTTATATTTGAACGAATCTTATCTCATGTGAGGTACAGTAGGTACTCTGTTTGAAGAATGACTCACGCCATCTGTTACACCACGTATTTTTCTTTTTAGGAATTTTCTATACAATAGTATATTTTATGAAAGAGCAAAATTTTTAGGTAAGAGGGAGGGGGAGAAGCATTAAAAATTATAAAAATGACATACCTCTTTCTTCTCATTTAAAGATTCTGGCGCCAAGTTTGCACAATTCTTTGGTTCTTTTACATAAAAAAAAAAAAAAAAAAAAATGCTGCGTACGTGGAAAGAATAACAGCACACACACGCACAAAGAGTAGAAATGAAGATACATTATTAGATATGAATATGAAGATTCCTTATTAGATATGAAGTAGAAATGAAGACTTTTTTTTTTTTAGATATTGTAGTGTTAATGTCCCTATGTACTTATAGGAAAAGAGGTTTCTTTTTAAAAATTAATATTCTGATAACTACCTATAGTCTATCATCCATGAATACTTTTCATTTGTTACATCCTTACTGTAACTGCATTTTCCGGAATTAATTATTTGTGTAAACTTTCTCTTGAATTTTGGACGATAAAATTAGTATAAAAAAATAAATAAATAAAAAAAAGCAGGAAAATATGTGAGGAAATATAATATAATACAAAGTATAAATGCATAATATTAAAAAATTATGTTCCCAATTTTTCCTAAATAAATATCTTATAGATTAAAAATAAATGTAATTTTACCAAACAAAATAATAATTTAAAATATATTATGGTCACCAATAAATATTAAACACTGTACGTGTTTAAAAAAATATTTAACCTTTCTTGGAACATGCACTCCTGGAAGCTAAAAACTGAATACTTAATCATTTAAGAATCGAAGCACAGATCTATTTGTTCCTAGAATCTGAACAAGAAAATATGATCACATGACCATGCATAACAATTAACAGGGAAGCACAGAAACCAAAAAACAGCTAATTCAAATTATGTATTAAACAGTTAAAACTAGAAAATCTGAAGAAATACATGTTTACAAAATGACAGAAATAGCAAAGTTTTGCAGAATTAGTAATGGCAGATAACATGAATTATTATAAAAAATAAAAAACATAACAGAATGGAAATGTTTACATGATTTTTAAAAAATTCCCACTTCTTAAGAATCTATTTACATCTAAATACAAATCAATATTCAGAAATTCTAGAAGGCACAAAAGTTTTGTGCTAGTGTTTACAATTTACATAATATATAAAATTTCAATGCATGAATTTATATACATTGCAATAACAACATAATAAAATTGCTACATTTTATTTTATTACCTTAATAATATTTTTGATAAATATTTCGCTCTACATGTAAAGTCAACTTCAAAATGTACAACAGATAAGAAATAACAAAAATAAGTTTGATATATTTATAATGTTACTTCTTAAATATACTTGCTAGTACATTTATGAAAATTTTTTCAAGTAAGAATTTTCATTAGTTTGTACTTAGAAGAAGAATCCATGAAGATTAGTTACTGATTTAGAAAATGTTCTTGTAACCTTGCCATTTTACAAACAGCATCAGGAAGTGGTTCTAAATGGTCTTTATCATCTGGTTCTGGATTTTGAGTTACATAGATTTCACTAACTTTTGAAAACAAACCAGGTTTCTTAACAACCCTGCAATAATATTTATATATACAATATGATTTCTCTAATATTTCAATTAGTTCCAGAGTATGGACTGGTTGCAGAGCTTGAGAAAATTTGTCACAGACACGAGATGTGGGAATCCCTGGTAAGCTGATGATATAACCCAATATTGCTGATAACAGTTCTATCAGTGCAGGTTTATTCAGAGAACCGTCTGGATATCGCCATGTTCTTGGTAAGAAATACACTCTCTTAGTTAAATTTTCATTTTCTAAAAATATTTCATTTTGATTATTTGAATTGGAATGTTCTTCTAATACAAAGTCAGAATCTGATGCACACTGATATTGACTTTTGTCAATTTCAGGATAATTTTCCACACTTTCAGATAAATTAGCAGCATTATTTTTGGCAACCATCTTTAAGCCTTCACTCTCATTAATGGAGTTATCTGGTAATTTGTAAGATGCTACTACCCAGCACTCAGCAAAACTTACGCATACGTAAGTAAATGTGACAGTACCAACACGGAGTATGAGAACTGCCTCTCTAAATAAATGGAGATGTTCAAATAATGAAAGTTCTCCTGAAAGATGCCTGAATTTATACCAAAGTTCTTTTTCTAAAATTCCTGTAACACCAGATTCAAATATAGTGTTAAAAATGCATTTTGCTTCTTCTAATGATTCAACACTATACTTAGAGTACACATTTTCAAGAGACTTTACATAACTCTGATTTTTCACAAAAGCTTCAGGAGGTATATAACTTATCAAAGAGGAAACTATTTCTGAAGCCCTCTCCGCAGATAACATCATGTTATCAGTAGTCATAAACTGTGAAGAGGTTACATTTTCCAGAATAGAATGGTTTTGAGCAATTTCAGGAGGATTCAAGAGAACAACAGATGGTTTAGATGGCTGCAAAGTGCAAAATAAACGGCATGAGTTTAGAACTATATAATCTTGAGAATGTTGAACTCTTTCAATTGGAGGCTGTGATAATTCTTGTCTCAATAAATATAAGGCAAACCTTGATACATTAGTAGAACGCTGTCCCTCATTAATATGGAAGCTGTTGCTTGATTTTTGTTCAAATGACACACCTTCACTTAAATGACATGAATTTCCTAGGTCTTCAGGATTCTTCACTATCTTAGAATTATTCATTGAAATTTCTTCACTATTATGGTCATCATTTTTGCTGTTTAGTAGTCTTGATAATTCAACTGATTCTTTATCACTCAGTGACTGAATCATACGTTCTACAATGTTGGTACGAGCTTCTTTACTCAGAGACATATCAAACAGAATTATTTGGTCTGGTATCTCAGTATAAAGTGACAACTGTTGCATGAAATTGAGAGAAAGGATTGCAGCAGTATATCCAGGAGCTATATCTCCTTTCAATTCAAAACTTGACCCTATACTCATATCTTCTAAATGATTTAACAATTCTTTTGATTCACCAAAAAGTCTTCCAGGAAATTTCGTTATTAAAGTATTTTCATATGTAACAGAAAATCGGTATGGGAAAGTAGATCTTAGGGAACGTTGTAAATCTTTTCTGAAAGATTTTTTCTTGATAGCTATTACTTTTTCACCCCGAAGACGAGCTACTACAGATCTCAAAACATTTTCTGGATATGCACCATATAATCTGCGCAGTAAATAAGACCACCTATCATCCTCTCTTATAGCCATAGCTGAAACAATAAGTGAGTAAAGAGTAAAATACTTTATTTCTTCTGCATTAGTTGGCACTTTATGATGGTTTTTTCTCATAAAAACATGTCGAGATGAAGTAATCTCAAATCTTTCATTGAATTTATCCATGCTATTTGGAAGAATTATATTTTTACATCTATCTGATGCAGGTAAAATGAATTTTTTCTGTAATTTATTTAAAACAGCAGTAAACAATTCAGCCCATGCCTTTTCTTGTGTTTTCAGTGGTTTGGGTTTGTCAAATTCTTTCACCAACTCTATATCTTGCCTAGCTTCTCCCAAGAATACAGACACATTATTGGTGGTAGTAGGATTTAAAAGCATGTATCTTAACCTTCTTTGACAAGCACGAGAGCTTTTGTTAGCAGACAATTCTGGTAAATGTTTATGAAGCAAATCACGCACCACAGTATAAGGAACAACTAAGGCTCTAGATGTTGAATCCAGAAAAGTTGATGCAACTTTACACAGCAAAAGAAAACTATCTTCTTGTGCAGACCATTCACAACGAGCTTTCGACATTTTTTGAAGAGCTGCTTTATCCTTTTCATCATAATATGGTGTGCGTTCCTTCGGCTTTCGCAACCTAACAGTTCTGTATTTAATTCTTTTGCGTTTCTTTGAATCTACAAGAGGTACATCGGCTTTACTTTTCTTAACAGTACTTTGCTTTTCTTTCTTTGCTTTAGAATCTTTTGGTAATGTGAATTTATTTTTTGTAAACCTCTGTAATCTACCACGATTTTCAGGAGCAAGAGTTTCTTTATTTTTCAGCAAAAGCTGAATAGAATAGGAAGAAATGGGACTATTCTCAGAATTTTTCTGCTGCTTTTCAGCCACTTTTGAATGGTTAGTTGACTGCCAATTACGCCTTGCATGTAAAAATAAAGCACTGTCATAACCAGCAGCTCCTAATCCATCACCAGGAATATCCCCTACATCACAAATATCATCAAAATTTTTATTTTTTAATGTTTCTAATAATTCAGGTTTGTGAGTTGCATCAGAAATGGCAATAGTTTTTCCAGCAACAGCACTGTATTTTCCTAAAGGTGTATGAAAGCTGATACTCTCTAAATCAAACCAGAAATTTTCAACATCACTCAGAGAATTTAAAGTGTAAGATTTAATTTCATAATTTAAATCTTTATTTATATGAATATAGCCTGGTGTAGATACAGTAGTATCTTTTAAACTAGCATTTTTATGTATGTAGAGGTACACCTGATCCTTTTCCTTTGCTACTTGAGGACCTATAGATACTAAGCCCATGTTAGTTAAACCTCTTATAACATCATTAGTAGAAAATAAATATTTGCGATTGTTAAGCAAATCATTACGCATGTCTTGTGATAAATGTTTAAGAAGATAGTGTGCTTTTTCTTCATGTTCTAAATATTCATTCAAATTGGATATTTTATGTCTTATATTGACAATTTTCACAAAAACAGAGAGTGGCATACGAGAATAGATGTCAGCTAAGAAGCACCAACCCTCTTTTGCATTATTTGGGAGAGGTGGAATAAATCTTTTCCAACTCAAGCTTTCATGGTACACAATGGGTTCTTCTTTGCTATCAGATGAATTTCCTTCATACTCTCGAACAAGATAAAAAAGAAACTGGTGTAGTGTTCTGATGCGCACAAATTTTGGTTGTATGTTATAAAAATACTTATCAGTTGATGGCTGATGACTAGTTTTCTTTACTGGTTTTTCAGAAACATTATTTTCAGTTAGCAAAGATGGTTCAGATAGCTCTTGCTTGTGTTCAATTTTTCTAGCTTTATCTTTTGATACACTAAAATACTTAAACTTTGCTTGCTCAATAGCACCTTGTATACAAGGATCATTTGGTTCTACAGAAATGTCGCAGATTAATTCTATTTCTGTTTTTTTATTCCCTAATTTTAGGACAGCTTTAAAAATTTTAAGTTTCTGCAGGTTATTTAAGTTGTATACAAGTCGTGCAGTTGATTTTTTATCGACTCTAAAATCATACTTTTCTTCTTTTTCCTTTTCCATTACAAATTTTTGTAAATCTGATATGGTGGATAAACGAACAGATTTTATGTAATCCAGAATTATGTTTGTTCTTTTAAGTTTACGATAGGTCATTTGTGTCGATGTATTAAATGGTGATTTTAGAGGCTGTTTCTCTGAGAAGCTCATCAGTTTAGGACTTTTACCAGTAAAAACCGCATTATGAATTTCATGTATTTCAGCTTCAATATTTGAAAAATTTGATTGTTCAGAGACTTCTGTAATAAAATCAGTCTTTTCTTTATCTCCCTCATAATTAACTTCCTGAATATTATCATTAAATCTCACTTTTTTATGCTGAAAATGTTCATCTGCACTTTCATTTTGTTTTCGTTTAGCAGAGTTTAGATTTCTTTTAGGCATATTATATAAAGATTCTTTAGTAAATTGTTCTTCTTGTTCTTTAACTTTAGAATAAGCTTCATTCTGCATTTCAAAGATCTTTGAAATATATTTTCTCTCTTTTTGTCTCCCTCTGTCTTGAAGAATATCTACAACATAATTTTTCTTCTTTAATACCTTTAATAGTGAACGAATATCCAGTCTTGGTAGAGTCAAAGCTCTGCCCAAATCTCCTGCACTGATACCTTCTGGACCAGCTCTTTTTATCAAAAAATACATTTGAGAAACTAATGGTATATTATGGTACAGTTTTGAACAGTCAAAATAAACATTCTGTTTCAAAACAGGTTCTCTGCCATTCAGATCTTCTTCTTCATCATCATCCTTTTCCTCGTCATCACAATGTCTTAAAAGCTGAACAACCTTTACTATCCGTTCCTGCCCTGCAACTGTAAAGCTTTCTTTCTGAGTTGCATTTGGATAAAATTCTCTGTATGGAAGATGAACAATTTTGACACATTTCTGAAAGGCTCGATAAAATAATTTTTTAAATGTACCCTCCTTCACCCCAAGTTCTTGTCTTAATATTTTACATACTTCTCGATTTCCAGGTTTGCTTTTTAAAAGATCACACATACATTTCATTAAGAACTCCATTTTTGTTTTACGTTGAACATAAAATCTTGTTAAATGAAACAAACTGCCAGTGATTGCTATGCCTTTTCTATTCCTCATATAATGCAGCTGCTTTGTAACTAAGCCTTTCATTGTGAGTTTCTTTCGATGATAATGCAACTGCTTACAAAAACGAGCATTCAGCGCCAAAAGCCCTCCTACACCTTGAGTAACTTCACCAAGATAACGAGATCTTCCTATTCGCTCCAGAAAGCAGTATTCTTCCAGCGACAAATCAACAAGAGGATTTGTTTCTGTTCCAATAAGTGACAATAGTCGAGCTTTAGCAGAAGCAACTAAGACTAATGAATCTTCCCATTTTTCAACAGCTTCATTCAAAGAAATTAACAAGACATCATCATATCTTATATCAGATGTAATACATTTTCTAGATTCATAAGTGGAACAAGATCCTCTAATTTCACCATCACTTATAAATTCTATTGGATACAAATCTTTAATATCTTCTTCTGGCTCCAGGACAATTCCAAGTTCTGGGTCTAAGTGATCATATCTATTGTACACAGGTAAAAATTCTCGTGGCTCTGGAAGCTCATATATTTCAATATCTTTATGAACGCAATACATTCCCACAAAATATCTTGGAATCATCATCAATTCAATTTGGAAATGAGGGCGATTTTCAAGCCTCTCCATAAAATACAAAGTAATTCCATCTAATCCTTCAAGAGCTATTTCATCTAAAATACTTGATAAGAAATCCAGAGATGTTTCCATCCTTCATATGTGCACCACTGCCTTAATTTCATTAGATAAAGGTGATACTATTACCTAGGGCGGGGAAAAAAGTATATGAGTAAACAGTTATCATTAAAAGTTTCCACTGTTAGAGACAGACTCGCTAAATTGCCAATACATATTAAAATAAAATATTTAATTGTACACATAAATAACAATTATTTTTACTTAATTTTTTACACATTTTTTTTAAGCCAAATACACATACACAAACATAAGTACAGTACAAAGTCTAAAATCTAGATGTCCAAATATTCGGAATGAACTAATATCTAGAAAACCAACTAAAAAAATCTGATGTGTATACACCACATGATTTCTTGTACGGAATATTAAATTATACACAATATTCCTGCATTTCATTTAAACATATTGAATTAACATTTAACGAATTTTGAATTAAATCTCCTTCGTCGATAACACATAAACCACAACAGAGTAGTGTATAGTATTGCTGTGGTAAATAAATGCTGTAAAAGAATTTATTTTCTCATTGACCAAAATTACTGCAAGTGGAGAATATCCTCCAAGCCAATGCTCAGTATAAACACAAGATGGGTTTATTTTGGGAAAAAATGCTTAATTGCACATTCTTCTTGAAGGAAGAATCACTTGCTCTTGAACATAAACCTTCGTAAAACTGACTGACATTGCTTCTTGATGGAAACTTAGCTAGTGATTTAAAATTGAAGCAAATGTTAGTTGATCAAGCAGAGAATTCCAGAGTATTGAAAGGAAAAGAAAAGAACTGCTTCCAGTCATTTGGAAATCGCATCAAGATATACCTGAATCACAGAAATCACCTTATATGCGGTCAGATCGTAAATTTAGAACCCCTTTTTTCACGGGGAGGGGGGGACTGAAAAGGAGGGGATAATCTTGCTCGCGGTCAGAAAATGTGGGGGTCGTTTAAACATCTAACTTCTCTACATTTAGTTTTTATACAGAGGAAAATACAAATTGAATTCTTCGAATGAATGCAATTTGTACAATGAAATGTATATTGAACTATAAACTGTTAGGCAAATAACATTTTTTTTAAAGTAGGAGTAAAAAGACAATATTTGTTTACATCAATGAATTTTAATAAATATTGAGTTTTTCATTTTGAATGCTATGTTACATGTATGCGAGTCGAGTATAGAAATAGACATAACCCAAATGGCTTTCAAACCTTTTCATGTCTAAGGACTGTTTTTCAATTACATTGTGGTCGCTGCTTTTAGGTTAATTTTCTAATGATATATAAACATAATTGTTTTTATTTGAGACTTATGAATAAAATAACGCAAACTAGACACAGAAAATCTTCAGAATGAAGTTAATAATGCTGTGAAAAAACATTATTGATGCTCTTTTGTGTTTTATATGTAGTAGTTAATATGGAAATCCTTAATTATATATATCTACATATAGATATATATAAATGAATCAAATATTAGACAAGGTATAAAATATCAAAGAAAAATATCTTTATTATACAATGCTCATTATCATACATATATTAACGTAATATCAGTATGAATGGTTAGTTAGGTTTCGTACATATATAATTTATTTTTATATTTTGTGTTATATTCACTATTGTATACGTATCTGAAGTTTAATTTTACTTGTTCTCCTTTGGGTTATGACTTTTATGTGCATACCCTAGGGAATTACTTCACTTTGTAGACTTTTTGTAAGCTTCACCATATTTCTTAAAGAATCTCTCAGTGCTAGTTCCATTTCCAAGCCTTATGTACCTTATTTTTTATGCTTTTGAATTATATTAGAGAGAATTATTCACCTGGTTATAGCTGAAAATGCAGTTTTTTTATTGAGAATTTAAGGGTAGAAGAGAATATGTCCTTCTAATTATTCTTGAAAGCATTTTTAAATTTTTTAAAAAGGGCACTTAATCGATCACTGAACTAAGGTATCAATAAAGGACAGATTAATCAGCTACTAAATTTTGAGTTTTGTTGAGTAAAAATGAATTCATCTGCAATTCTATAAGAAAACAGATATAAAAAATGTTTTCCTTCTCGCAGTCATAATATTTTTCTTAAATATTTAGCTAATTCATATTCAAATATTCCAATCCATTACAATTAGTAATAAATCGATACAGTAATAATAATTAAAATCAATTAAATGGATTTTAATTGATTTAATTTCCATTTTCCCTCTGATAAACCCTCTTTAGAGTTCAATAGCGTCATCAGCTTTGTTGGGGTTCATTTTCTTATGGTATGCTTACTTATATTATGTATGTATTATGCATTGCTCATACTCGTCAATTACAACTTTTAATATCTCTTGGAAAAAATTAGGAGGGATCTAGAAAAATGATCTTAGTGATGCAAACTATTTTACTAGGCATTGTATGCCACAGTGTTTAAAAATCCCATTGTTAAAGGTAGGCCTATGCTCATATCTTGGTCTAAAATTAAAAGCGCGAGTCAAATTAAGAGGTCATCTTGGGAAGTTTAATTAGAAGTAGTTATAGAATGTTAATCAATACTTATTATCTTGATTAAACACTTACTCCCTATTTGATCGTGTATGGAAACAGATATTCGTTCATTCATAAAGAAAGAAAGGTGAATCAAAATGAGTTATATTCTTGTTTTTCCAACGCAAAGCCATCTTAAGCTACTATCAGATTAATCTTTAAATTTCCAATAATAATCAAACAATGAGGGCCATTATTTTTAACTATATTACTATCAAATCCTATTTTGGTTTCAAATGCCTTTCATAATTACATTAATGATATGGATATTTATTATTACTATTCTAGAATAGTTGTAAATACTTTTTTACTGATATGTTTATGTACTATTTTATTAAAAGGGTTTATTAATTATGTATTATATTTATTAAATAACCAAAAAAGTGCATACTAAATAAATAAGCTGTTTAAAAATACATAAAAGAGCACTTCAAAACTTTTCGTATCCTGTAATTTGTCTCCATTCCGGTACCGTGGTGCATCATGTACGCGTTCTGATACAGTGGAAAGGAGAGCTCATTCAGATTTTATTCCGATCTACTGTATGAATGAGGACTTAAAAACATTTCTTTTAAAATATTTTGCCTTAGGATCCCGACACAGCCGTTAACTTTCCCCTTCCGTAATTAACGTCAGTCTCTTGCTCTTGACCGCATTTGCAAAGCCATCGTATCACAGCGTTAATATTTAAAGATAGGTTCACTTTTGATTCCGTACCAATGGTAAAGCAATAGTTTAAAACAATAATTTACAATTGAAAGCATTATTAATCTCAGACAATGCTCCACAACACCCAAAATCTCTGCAAAATATATACCTGGAAATCAATGTTTTGTTTCTTCCTCCCAATACTAGCTACCTCATACAACTAGTAGATCAAACAGTGATAGCTATGCTTAAGCGAAAACACATCACTGTGTACTCGAGAATAACACAAAAAATTACAGAATGATTTGGAGACAAAAGTAATTGCTTTATTTTTTAATATATCACATAATCCTAATTTTAAAATTAAAACTTTTATTTAAATTCTTAAAATATAGTATAACCCAACTGCATGAATGAAGGGATCCCCTTATGCCTGCGTGGGCAATTTAATGACCTTATTTATGCAAAAGAAGTTTTTCTCTTCCCTAAGACACTACAGGGAGTCTTCACTCTTTCTGAACAGGAAGGTGTTCAATCATTAGGACAGTTTAGCTTTAAAATTACATAATTTTTTCTTTTCTTGGTGCATTCTATGGTGTAGATGGTCTTTACAGCAACCCTGTAACACTCACTCAGTTTTTGTTGTCAGATAAGTAAGTTATCGCTTGAAAAGATGGCACGCATGCGATTAAGGGTTGTAAAATAAAATATTAATTAGTGCAGTCCACATTTCATTAACTTTGAATTGTTTGTATAACAATGCATGCATCGCATGAACGTTTATGGCTCACTGAGCCATAGGTAAAAGATATAATCGCTAAAGTTAACTTTTTAGAAAATTTGGAATACTTTTGTTTTATTTGTATTAAGCATAACTTTATACAGAATGTTTGGAATGCTTTTGTTTTTGTTTGGGTTACGAAATTAAGGTTGGATACTGCGTCACTGTTTGCTTTTCGGCGTTGCTGTCGAGAAGTCTGCAATCACGGTAACTGAAAAATTATTTATTTTTTCATGATGAGTGAACTGAAATTAATTAAAGCTAACAAAAGAAGCTTAAAAGGTAGTATCACAAAGTTTGAAAATAAAGTAAACTTAACAGTGGATGAAGCAGATATTTCCTTATTGGAGTTATACGAATCAAAAATATTAGAATTAAAAAAGGAATTAAGTAGCATTTTCGATTCTTTATTTGCACATTGTGAGGAAAAGGAAACTGATGAGTTCATTAAGGAAAAGGAAAATGTAGTAGATAATCTCGATGATGAAATTCATTTGAAAATTAAAAGAAAAAATTTCTGAGATCCAGTTCTCAAAGGAATAGTTGTTCAAATGAAAACGGTTTAAGGAGAGACATAATTGTTTCACATATAAAATTGCCTCGTCCTATATTTAGTGGAAAAATCAAAAAATGGATTGAATTTGAGGATTTATTTTCTGGAGCTGTGCATAAAAAAATAGCATATTAACTAATGCGCAAAAATTGCAATATTTACAGAGTTTGTGTAAAGTAGATGCATTAAATATTATTCATTCCATTCCAATTTCGTATTCGAATTATGACATAGCATGGAATCTGTTGGTTGATCGCTATTGCAACAAAAAAGATTTGATCAATTCTATCATAAAGAAATTAATTTCTATACCTCAAACGAGTGATTCTACTTCGTCGCTTTTAAAATTTATCGATAAGGTGCATGAATGTTTACGATCCTTGGAAGCATTGGAGCAAAAGGTGGAAGAATTTTCAGACACGTTAATTGTTTATTTATTAGTTGAAAAGTTGGATAGAAATACTCGGTGTTGGTGGGAAAGGTCACTTAAAAAAGACGAA